CCCTTCTGAAGCTGCTGCCCCCGCGACCCGACCCCGGATAGGCGGAAGAAAATGGATGGATGGATGGATGGAAAAATACTCCCTCAGTAACAAAAACAAAACAGCAAGTAAATCTGCTTTTTTGCTAGCTTCATGGAATTTTCCAGATTTTTAGCGCTGCTCTCCAGGAGAAAAAAACTCAATGATTTCTGGAACTGTGCCATCTGAGAATGATGCGTTGAAGAAAATAGTTTTTTATATCAATGAATAGAGGAGATTCTAAGCTTTCTATACCACATAAAACACTTTGTAAATGATTAAATTTAGTAAAGAAAAGATAAAAAGAATCTCTAAGTTTTAGGCTGATCGTGATTTTCATCCAGAAAAACATATCACAGACCCCCAAACTTSGTATCAAAATAAAGATAATTTAGTTTCCTGCATGACCCTGAATGCAACATAAGGGTCTGAACTACGGCACTTTTGCGCTACGGCATTATATTAGGGGAACCCCCGAACCGACAGCCCGCCCCAGACAAAGCAGGTGTCCGGTTGAGGACACTCCTCTGCATGTATTACTCACTAAACATGGTAATAAATCCACTTTAGGCAAAAATCATTCTTGTATTAGTCAAAAGATATGTTTTAGATTAGGGAAGCACCAATATGAAAATTTCAACCGATATAGATTTCCGATATATTTATTGTTATTATGGCCTTTAACCGATATTTACCGATATTGCACAAACACACATGGGTCTTTTTTTGAAACCGTAAATAAACAACCAGACCTYTGACATGATTCCCTACTTCAGTTATTCCTGGCTGTGCAGCGTCAATATCACTGTCATGATCAAACAGATGCCGCTCAACCAACCATCTCCCCTCCCAAAACAGAAACACAAAKCTAAAAAGTGGGAAATCAATATCGGATGTTAATATCTGCCCAGTTTTACCTATTGGACCGATACCGATATTCTAAAAAATGACCAATATCGGCCGATACCAATATTAGTGCAGATATACAGTATCATGCATCCCTATTTTAGATTTAAGTAAAGMTTTTATTCAGGAGAAACAATTACCTGAAAGTTAGTTTTTAGCAGCTACGTTCTGCCCGTCTCCAGTGATTGAGAGGAGGAGAAAGTCCTCTAAAATGAATGATGTTTCTCCATGATTCTTCACAAATTTTCAGGTAAAGTGACCCTCAAAAATATTTAGTGTATAATAACTTGAACACTGATCATTAATAGTTGAAAGTGGAACATAATTTGACCATTAATGAGTATGAATTTATAATTTAAATCGCCAAGTTAACCAGAGGAGCAGCTCTGCCTCTCAGATTGACCCACTGTGTTGTGAAGCTTTTAACCTTTTTTACTTGAWAACCTGACCAAAATCCAAAAATACACTGATGTTTCTGTCTTAAAATAATCAATATTATCAATATTAAAACCATAGTTCTATTCCAGTTTATCATCACTTRTAAAACAGTAATGGTTTTAAATTTAAGAACACAGACTGCCGACTGCTGGAGAGTCCCACACCTACTTTTTAATTCTCTGATGCATACATGAATTATATCTCAAAATAATTCTGCAATAGCTACAGAAATGCTTATTACATTACTTTATTATTTTTTTGGCATGAACTGTTCATTCTGAGTGGTCAGATCCTAATACACTGACGTRTACTCTGTAAAAGTACACTGAATAGAAAGGAAATTTGCATATATTTGAAAAATTGGCAAAATGCTCCACGTATACTGGCTTGTCAATTTTTTTCTTTTAAAGGAATTATTTTTTGATTATTACATATCAAATTTATGGGGCAACTTCTTACCAAGTTCAAAGTTTCAGAGTGTTACATCAAAAGAAAATTTTTTTGTGAAGATGTATAAATCTGCATTTTTTGCACTTTTTCGGGCATAGGGATTTTTGACCATTTTTGATTTTTTGAKGTCCAGTTTCTCAGAATCGAAGTGATTGAATTATCTGAAAAAAATTGGGCGTCTTGCACTATTGAATGTCAATCAGCATAAAGATTTTTTGGTTTGTGGGCATCATACTTACTGAGATATGCTGGTGTGAATATGGCTTTAGCTGATTTGCTCATAATTTTCATTTGGTGCGATTTTGTCATATTTGCCATTTTTGGGACTCAATATTTTCAAAAGTGATTTAAACAATGGGGTAAGTACTTCTGTTTTTTGTTAAATATATGTTTGTCAGTCAGCAAAGTAATTTTCTTGGATTTTAGAGGATTGTATCCATTGTTTTATCCCCATGAAAATAGCCCTTCAGACTGTCAAAATGAGGCACAGCTGGTCACGAGAGTAAAATGACTGCTATTTGAAAAGTACTTGCCAGATTTTGAAAATCTAAAGTGCAATGGATTTCATTTTTTATTCTCTAACAAATAATTTTTTTAAATAATTTCAATAAAGGTAGTTAAAATTTTTGTTTGTCCATGCTTTGACTGAGAATTATGAAATTCAGTACACACATGTAACATCTCAGGACCCACAAAGAAGGCTCTTGGAGCCATGGTCCAGGAAATAGAACATTTTGTATCAAAGATACATGGGTACCGAATTTGATACTTTTATAAGAACCGACCAAATTCTGTCCGTACTACAGAGTACCTATTCACGTAACATCAAACTGTACCATRTTTTGGTACCTAAACGCATCATTGTGAACATATTGGCGTAAGAKTGGGAGATTTTCCATTCTTTTCCTGAATGCAGCATCACGCAAGAGCATAATGACATCAGCAGCTGCTGCTTCAGTTCAGTCTGAAGCTTGAAAACAAGCCTCGCAGCTCCTGGAGTAAAATTTACCGAACAGACCGCCTCTGAATTATCTGCTGGATT